TATTATTATGCCACATGGAAAGCTGATGGAACAAGATATATGATGCTAATAACCATGGATGGATGCTACTTGATTGACAGGGGTTTTAAATTTCGAAGAGTCCAAATGAGATTTCCTTACAGAAATGCTAATGATGTATGTTAGCCCGCTCCTTCACTGGAGATTACTATTTGATAATTGATTATATAATTGTATCTGCATTCGTTCTGATATACATAGACCATTTTTGCTTCAAGGGCTTAGTTGAGAAGATTCACCACTATACATTGCTTGATGGAGAAATGATAATTGATACTATGCCAGACTCTCAGAAGCAAGAGAGAAGATATCTTATATATGATATGATGGCAATTAATCACGTCTCAGTTATTGAGGTTTGATTTATCTATCTGTTAATGATTAAAGTGCTCCTGATGTAGGAAACACCCTTATGTCTTTATGTAGTTTAACCAATAAATGCTTGAATTCAATTGGACTTGCTCAAATTTGTTAAATTATTGGTTTGATTAATTGTTTTTGCCTCCTCCATTGCATTGCACAACTTACAGGCACTAATGTGTCTACTGACTTAACTGAGTGCTTGATTGTCCAGTTCAATTCCGAGCAAGTAATCAATGGGGGGTGTAATCTCCTTTGGGTGTTCTTGGGACGGGACTCCTTAGTCATCGTGTTTGTTTTTCATTGTTCTTTCATAATGCCTTCTCTGAAGAAAATCCTAGCACAATCTGATTAGCGTTAGTAATTGGGTCTTGGGAATTAGTTTGCTTCATATGCTACCATCAACTTGAAAAACCTTTTCTGGCCCCCATAATTTAAAATTTTTTTAATTCCTAATTTTGTGGTAGGTCGATCGTCTCCTTCCCATATTTTTACCTGATTTAGAATGTAAGCTACAGTCTACTCGGATCTCTTAATTCATGTGCGAACCTATTGCTGTCATTCAAGATGCTCCTGGCAATATCTATTTTAGAAATATTTAACATATTAAGAAATTCTTACTTGGTTTTGCTGGTAGATGGCCAACTTTTTGAAACTTCCATCTTCACTGTTTGGCTGAGAAATATATTACAATGCATACTGTTTAATTAATTGGGCATATAGGATACAGTATTGAGTATGTTACTATTTCTTACTTCACCGTGCATGTATCTTTTAGTGATACATTGTTATTTTTTCAATGTAAAAGGTCAATCTTTTTTATAGCTCTAATAACTTGCTGTTGTTATAGCGTCCTTTCTATGAACGGTGGAAGATGCTTGAGAAAGAAGTGATTGAACCTCGCAATTATGAGCGCCAGCATATTCACAAAAGTGTGAACCCTAATTATAGATATGATCTGGAGCCATTCAGGGTATGTATCCATACTTTCCTTGTTTTGACGTTTCTTCTCAAAGTGGTTATTTGATTCAACATAATTACTCATTAGGTGAGGAGGAAAGATTTTTGGTTGCTCTCCACAGTTACCAAACTTCTGAAGGAGTTCATACCGAAGCTTTCACATGATGCCGATGGCCTAATATTTCAGGTAGAATATCTGTAGATAAAATGTTAACAGATGCCAGATGACTTATTCATTTTTGGTAGGACTTGAACCATCCTTTATTATAATAAACTTGTTTTCTTCTTTCAAAATGTTGTAATTTCATTAAATGTCCAAGAAACTAAAAGAAATATTGAAACAGAATCCAATTACGGTACAATGACTCATATGATAGTATGAAACAAATTTTTATTTCTAAAAGTTCACGGAAATCTCTTGTAACATCTTCATTGAATACCATCGTTCTCTCTGTTTCTCAAATATTGCATATTACCTTTATATTCTGTTTGGGGATGGGATTGGGGAAATGATACTTTTTTTTTGGAAGTTTATTATTGTCATTTATTGGGATAAAATGGTTGATGTTCATCCTTTTTTTTTTAGGGTTGGGATGATGCTTATGTTCCTCGAACTCATGAGGGTCTTTTAAAGTGGAAGTATCCTGAAATGAACTCTGTCGACTTCCTATTTGAGGTTGTAAGTAATTTCTTTAGCATTGGTGCATGCTGCAGCTGAATGTTGAATGCTGAAGTAATTTGAAGTTATTTGTCTGTACAGTTGGGTGAAGATGATTCTCAGGTTCTTATTTTGTTCGAACGAGGAAAGAGGAAAACAATGGAAGGAAATAGGGTTAAGTTTAAAGGTTGATGCAAATAGTTTATGCCTCTTACTTTGTTGTCTCAAGTTCTCTTTTCCTTTTATCAGTTAAAATATTTTTAATAATCTATATGTTTGTTCGCACTTCAAAAGTCATCTCAATTGTTGAGGACTACTTGGTGGGGGTAGGAGTATAAGCACTTCGAGATTCTATTATCTTTATATTTAGAACTTCTGATTACAATTGTTGAATATTACTTTTGGGGCTTCTAGATTGAACAAAGTATTAACATACAGTGTCTGGAAAGCACTCAATGAAATGTTTAAGTAGGATGGGGTGTCTAATCTACTTTATAAATTGAAGCTGATGCTCTAATGAGAAGAAAAAAAATGTAATTATTTCATTGACTTGAAAACCTTTCTGCTGGCATTGGCTCAATGTTGCCACACAATCTAACGACTATAGAACTTTCTTCTGTCCTATCCTTCCTTAAACTATAAGTCTGGATCCTCCCTTAACCTATAAGTCTGGATGCACTAGTCGATTCCAGGATGGGCGGTCATTGGTTTAAAATCCTTGGATTTGTTGCATGATATTTTAGATCTTTTGACTGAATATTTCTCCAGATCGGGTAATAGTCCCCAGTTTCCAAATTTATTGATAAGGTTGAAGAAGTTTTGGCATATAAGGAGAAGCTGATGCTAGGACTGTCTTCAAGAATTATCTATAGTAAAGTTAATTATCTAAAAGGAATATTTTATCGTTTTGTCTTTGGGTGTCATTAGCACATTGATGCCACAGATGTTGCATTCATGTGTTTTCGTCTGGAGAGATATCGTTATTTGGTATAGATCATTTTTGACCTTATTTTGAAATTTTTGCAGATGGTGATCCCTCCTTCTATTCAGGAAAGATTGTTGAGTGTTCTTGGGACTCTGATGAGCAAGTATGGGTCTGCATGCGTGTCAGGACAGACAAGACAACTCCTAATGATTTCAATACTTACAAAAAGGTTCCTTTATTGCCAATTTGCTATACATTTTGATGCAAGTTTGAATCCTCATCAATTAATATTTCTTGATATTTGAAACAGGTCATGCGCAGCATTAGAGACAATATCACAGAGGAAGATTTGTTGAAGGAGATTCACGAGATCATACGCTTGCCCATGTATGCTGACAGGATAAGGAATGATAGTAAAGCAGCCCAACATACAACCTCAACACGACGGAGGTGATATCTAGACGTTGCCCAAATACAAAACTTAGGCAGTATTAGTCGATAATCTTCGGATGAGATGCTGGAAAAGTGTCCCCCCACATGTTTTGCTTGTTCGTTCTGTTGCCAGCTTTACGAATGTCCCCTTGGTTGAGTTGTGCATATATATTATTGATAGGGTGACCAAGCCATTAGCAGCTTCTCCTTGTGGTATCCTTTAGTGTGTGCAGAGCTGGTGAATTGTATGATCCAGTCAGTGCACTTAATAGTTGTCTTGAATTAGGGCTTTGAAATCCATTTCTTCTAGTTTTCCAGGTGAAGAGATGTAGGATTAGGATCATCATGTATATTAGTATTTTAATTTTTCGTTATTTAGTGATTGCTAAGCAGCAACTCGAAGGCAGTCATTTTAAGTAAATCTGAGCCAAGTTTTTATAGCAAGGTTTTACATTTTTACTGTTGTGAATAGCCTCTACTCTTAATGATCATGTCTCCACTGTCTTTTCTATTTCGGTCTCCGTTTTCCCTGTTTCCTCTATTTTGAATTTTTCCTTCGGCTGAGAAATAAGAAATGCGGCCTGTTATCTCGGTTTCAATTCATTGATGTTCTACAGCCTGTTTGCTTTGTTCTTCCTACCCATGCTGTTTCATTTCTATGCAGTATGCACAAAAATAGTTGAAAAGGCGGTTTCCATTAGGATGGAAATGTAAATTCCATTCACAAGCATGAAGTTATTTGTAAACTGGACGGGTATTTTTCTACCAGAATGGAAGATTTAAGTTTCATTCAGTTGATATTGCTTGGATTTTGCCATCAGAATGGAAGATGTAAGTTCCAATCACATGCTTCATATTGTTCACTTTTGTGACCAAACTCAAGCATTTTTCTTTCAGAATAGACGTAAGTTTCATTCATATGCTTCGAATACTTGGCTTTATCCAGACAAGCATTTTATATCAGAATGGAGAATATTGAAATTTCTTGGATTTTGCTGTCAGGCTGGAGAATGGAGAAATTCCATTCCATTAATATGCATTATATCTTGTTTTGTGACCAAATAAGATTAGTGATACGTATTCTTAATCTTTAATTTGTAAAAATTATGAAGGTGCAAGTTTCGTACACATTTTAATTGTTGCTGACCAGATTCATTTCTCTATTAGGATAGAAATTGTTGAATTACTTCGCATGCTTCATAATCATTTGCATAATCAGGAAGGATTTTGGAATGGCAAAATAACAATCAAAATCACTCCCATTTTTATTTATCATGTATGGCAAATTAAAAAATTGATTTTACGGAAGCATAAAATCACTTAAAATTGATTTTTAAGGTATCACTTGAGTGTTGATTTTGGAAAATCGATTATTTTTAAATCTCTTTTTTCAAAATCACTTCTAACATCACTCCTAAATACATTCACGGATATAAAGAAGAATTTTTTTTTTTTTTTTTTACCATTTTAGTGGTGATTGAAATTTTATAAAATTTAGGAATTGCACTATAAAGTGTTAAATTTGTAATGAGTTTAAATCTAATTTGTGTCTCTAAGTCATATTAGTTCAGAAGTCTCAAGTTCGAACATTTGGTGGTATTATACTATTGAGGTCACTCTGGTTTGGACCTTGAGACGAACCCAGACATCTCTAGGTATAAGGGAAAAAATTGACTCTCAATTATAAAAAAATAATAAATAAATATTTTGATATTAGTTCACCATTAATAGGTTAATGGGAAGAATCACAAGTATCTTTATATTTAAATGATGTGGTTAATGTGTTGTGAGTGGATTGTTAAACAAGTATTTTAGATTAATTTAAGTTTAGTATAAATTTCAATTATTATCCAACCAATAATTCAAGCGTAATTTGAAAAATAAAAACAGAATTTTCTAGATAAACAACTAAATGGAATTAAATTCAGAATCTACCGTGGAGAAAAATAAATTACTGCTATGAAATTAGAACACAGTAAGCATAATTATAAAATATCAAATGTCTTGCAGGATACTTTGGTTTTCTAACGATAAGATTCGAATTCACAGCATCTAATCAGGCAAATATCATAAAAATTTAAGGTATTATTTACCCAAAGCAAACGTTGTATTAATTTCAATATATTGGACAATTCTAATAGAATAGTCAACATTTTTGGTTCTAATCTTCTCGCTTCAGACTCGCAGCGCACGGGCGCCACTGCACTTGAATTTCGCAGATCCTTTTTGGGGTTTTGGCAATCTGATCTTCTTGGCTCTGCATTTCAATTTTCAGAGTCCCCATAGGGTCTGCCCGGGCAGGGCTTCGTTCCCTGAATTCCACTGATCTTTGCGTCGAATTTGAGTTTTCGCTTCTTCCTGTAAACATTCGTAGGGCTAGGGTGGCCACTCATGAAATTCTCCGTAATCTCAGCTCTTCTGGTTTGTCTAATTCTATTTGCTCGGTCGAAATGCATTCACGGCGAGGAGGCCAAGAAAAACAAATTTCGTGAACGAGAAGCCACCGATGATGCCCTTGGATACCCTGAGATGTAAGTTGTGTATCGCTCTTTCATCATTTCGCTTTCGTCTTGCGTGTGAGCTGCTGTTATTCTTGATATTCCTTTTCATTGAATTATGTGATTAAATTGCATTTGGGATTTGGGGCTTTTGTTCGGTTCAAGTGCTTAATGAATTGTCTTCTTTCAAAGATTGACTTTTTTCTTTTTTACTTTCGATCTTTGATAAGAGACGAGGATGCTTTGTTGAACACACAATGTCCAAGGAATTTGGAGCTAAGATGGCAAACGGAAGTGAGTTCTAGCATATATGCTACCCCCTTGATCGCTGATATTAACAGGTATAGTAGGCCTTTCACTTATAAATTCATCGTCACAGGAGGCTTAAAAAATATGAGAAGGGTTCCTCAGAGTTTTAATGCTATCACTCTCACACTCGGGGTTCAACCTCTTTACTTAAGCTTTATTTTTTTAGTTTATCTATTTTACAGTGATGGGAAACTTGAGATAGTGGTTCCATCTTTCGTTCACTACCTTGAAGTCCTAGAAGGTTCTGATGGAGACAAAATGCCAGGTAAAACTTGTGGTAGCTATTTCAAGAGTGCCAATTTCTCTGGTTGATGACATGCTCAGCTGGATTATAATAATGCATAGGCGGTGATATATTTTTGAAATGAAAAGTTTGAATTGTGAAAAATATTGCATAAATAATGATGGCTGTAGAGAGTATTAGTTGTGCACAGTGTTTCACGAAGAAGCCTATTAGTCTAAATTATATATTTTCTTTTAGGCTGGCCTGCTTTTCATCAGTCAACTGTGCATGCTAGTCCCGTTCTATATGATATCGACAAAGATGGTGTAAGGGAAATAGCTTTGGCGACATACAATGGGGAAGTGCTCTTTTTCAGGTGCTTATCTTTGCATTCTTGCACAAAAACCATCTCTTTCGTTTTCTATAATTCAGTCTTCAAATATTTTTTAATTTTATTTTCCCTAAAAAATATCAATTGTTATTAGGGTGTCGGGATATATGATGACAGATAAGTTGGAGATACCTCGTCGTCGCGTTCGTAAGAATTGGCATGTGAGTCTTAATCCTGATCCAGTTGACCGTTCTCATCCAGACGTTCATGATGACCAACTTGTCGTAGAAGCAGCCAAGACTAAATCAATGTCTCGTAAGTATATCTCACCCTCTGATTATTGATTTTCCTCGCTTCCCATGAAAATTCTCGTTAATCTATGTGCATGGGGAACGTGAAATAAATCTGTGGTAGCTAGAACGTTCTTGATTTTATGGCTGCATTATGAATCACATGAGATGAGACAACTGACGTTACTGTGTATTTCTTGTCCTTGCAGAAACAAGTGAAGGTGTTCCAGAGTTAAACCGTACTACTGAGATCACGATGAATGGAACTGCGAATGAACTTAATAATTCAGCTACCATATCAACACAAATGCTGAACATTTCAAATACTGTGAATACCAGCAAGGGGAATGACAGCAAAGTTGAACCAGATATTGTCCTGCCTACAAGCATGGCCAATACTTCTATGAATCTTACAACTGGAATACTCGATGGGACAAATGGAACTGGCACTAGTAGACGACTTTTGGAAGATATTGACTCTAAACAATCTCAAGAATATGGTTCAAGGTCCAAGGTCAATGGTAGTGGAGATGCTCACGTTGCAACCGTTGAAAATGATGAAGCTTTGGAAGCAGATGCTGATTCATCATTTGATATATTCCGTGAAAAAGATGAGCTGGCTGACGAGTATAATTATGACTATGATGATTATGTTGATGAATCCATGTGGGGAGATGAGGAGTGGACTGAAGTCAAGCATGAAAAAGTGGAGGAATATGTGGATATTGATGCACATCTATTGTGCACTCCTGTGAGTTCAACTTTTATACTTCAAATGAACCTCTGTGGCATTCCCTACCATTGATATGACTCATTGTAATTAACTTTAAATGGTACATTAATTTTCACCCAGGTCATAGCTGACATCGACAATGATGGGGTATCTGAAATGATTGTAGCTGTTTCATACTTTTTTGATACTGAGTGAGTCCTCTTTGATACTGTCTCGTCTTTGGTGCTTTTAGTGTCTCACGCATACACATACGGTCATAATGGTTAAGAAGATGAGGAAACGGCATCAAGAAATTGGTATTTTTACTTCAAATATTTATGGTACTCTGCGAGTAAGTAGATTGTATACTGCCGTTGCCGTTTGGCAGTGACGAATATAATTCTTTTTTTTTCTCTGGTGTAATTTCTTGAAACATCAATTATTATTTTTGGTATCCGGTGGAAGAAATTGATAACCCTCTATAATAATAGGTACTATGACAACCCAGAGCACAAGAAAGAATTGGGTGATCTTGATATTGGGAAATATGTAGCTGGTGCCATTGTTGTTTTCAATCTGGACTCAAAACAAGTAAAGTGGACAGCTGAACTAGACTTGAGCACAGATTCTGCAAACTTTCGTGCTTATATATATTCCTCACCTACTGTCATTGATTTGGATGGTGATGGGAATTTGGATATTCTTGTTGGAACTTCCTATGGCTTGTTCTACGTCTTGGATCATCATGGTAATCTCCTAATCTATTTCTGAATACTAATTTTCTTCTTGTTATATGCATTGATGAATTCAGCGCTTTATGCTCTTAATATGTTCCCAATGGTTACAAAATTGGGGAACATTTAATTGATTTCTCCTGCGATTTTTGTTCATTTTATTTATTTGTTTTTTGGAATTTCATACGCATGCAAACTAAAAAGATTTGCATGAATGTCTTATCCTCAAAATAATTTATAGGTTATTCTAAAGTAGCTTATCGCTGCTTCCGCTCAACATTAAATTATTTTTCTGATGCTTGGCTCTCTGTGCCCAATAAATGGGAGATAGTTGATTTGAGATCTTGTGAAACCATTCTTTCTTCGAGTCATGTTCTCTTTGCTGTTACTGCCGTCTTCTTCTTCTCTTTTTTTGATAGGAATCTTCTTCTTCCTTCCCCTTTTTAGGAGATAGCATTTACCTCTTGAATATTATACTAATGGTAATGGTTAGCTCTTTTTTTTTTGGGTTATGAGGGCCCCTGGCCTTGTTGGTTTTCTTTTAGTAGCCAATGATTTAGTTTGTTCGCTCATTCATGAAATTGCAATATTTTGCATGTAATGTTTCTTTCTAATCCCCTGAAATTTGAACCTTGATTGATATTGTGTCCAGGCAAGGTGAGAGAGAAGTTTCCTCTTGAAATGGCTGAAATTCAGGGAGCAGTTGTTGCAGCTGATATCAATGATGATGGAAAAATTGAACTTGTGACTACTGATACACATGGAAATGTTGCTGCCTGGACTGCTCAAGGTCAAGAAATTTGGGAAACGAATCTTAAGAGCCTTGTACCGCAGGTGAACCACTTTCTGTTCCTTGTTAGTTACTCTCTTCATGAAAGGTTGTCACTGTCAAGCTGCTGGTGGCAAATTCATGCATGACCTTGGTTAAAATTTAAATTAGCACCAACTTCACACTTCACCAAAATGTGCTTTCTTTCAAAATAAAGGAGAAAGATTAGAGATGTGTTAAGAGTTATGTCTTTTGTTCACACTAGCTTGAGGTGGCGTTTATTTAGGCAAAATGGAGTTAGATACAAGTAGTGTGGCCTGCATTTTTCACTGACTAACAGTTATATCATTCGCTGTTATAATCTGAGTTATTTTCATGTCTAACTTTTCTGATGATGAAATTCATTTCATTTAAATTTAAAAAAAAGAAAAAAGAAAAAGGAATACATTTCAATTTTTTAATCCTTGATGCGTCTGTTTTTTCTGAGTTTTGCCCGTTGGCTTTCTCAGCCATGCCATTGATCCTAGGTTCATGAGCTTTACTGTTAACTGCTGACTGTTTGAAGAAACTGAATTTAGATAGATGGCTTGTATTGAGACGGACACCTTTCTCTGAATGCACATACCAAAAGTTTATGTTAGGGAAGGCCGGTAAGGAGTGACACAGTTCACAAGAGTGGTTTGTTATTGGCATTGTTAAAGTTGATAGAATAGAAAACGGCGGCAACGTAAACGTTAATAATATAATAACTGATTCGGTTGCCAAAAGAGAGAAAAATATCTTTGTTGGGTTCATAATCTGGATCTCTGTGTCAGTTTAGTAATCTACTGACTTTGTAATATGATAGAGGCTAGCCGATATCTCTCTTATTGATGATACAGAATACAGATGATCCTGGAGATGTTTCTGTTTGATGCAAAGCATCTGAAATTTTCTATCATAGGCCAGTGTATTAATCTAGCATAGTTTTGATGCATAAACTTATTTCTTCAGGGTCCATCCATTGGCGATGTTGATGGGGATGGTTATACCGATGTTGTGGTACCGACGGTGTCAGGAAATATATATGTTCTCAGCGGCAAGGATGGGTCATTTGTTCGTCCTTACCCCTATAGAACTCATGGAAGAGTGATGAATCAAGTTCTTCTCGTTGATTTGAACAAACGCGATGACAAAAAGAAGGGGCTTACTCTAGTCACATCATCATTCGATGGGTATCTGTATCTTATAGATGGACCTACATCATGTGCTGATGTTATTGACATTGGCGAGACTTCGTAAGATATTTTCTAAAATAGTCTCTAAAATCTATGAGTGTCAGGACTCGTGAACATCTAAATATTATTTTTGCTCTCCCTTCATCGGAGTTCACTATGTATGCGTTCTTCCATTTCAGATATAGCATGGTCCTGGCTGACAATGTTGATGGTGGAGATGACCTTGATCTTATTGTCACAACCATGAATGGAAATGTTTTCTGCTTTTCAACCCCTGCTCCTCATCATCCTCTCAAGGTATGATGATATGAAGCTGCTTTTCTGAATTCTTTTCTCACTCTCCCACACAACTTAATGTTAATGTTAGACAATTGATTGATAAATGATTAAATTTACCGTAATCCATAGAGTTTAAGCTTTTGGGTTCAGTGGTGATTTAATGTGATATCAATAGGAGGGTCTTGTGTTTAAGCTCTCGTAATATCATTTCATCCGTATTAATAAGCGGCCATTTTGCTCATTTTCAAATCCAAAGGTGGGGATCGTTCAAATAGTGATAAAAGATTAAATTTACTATCAGTTTAAGCTTTTTTGGTTATTTAACACTGAATGTTACTTCTTTTGACTTAGGCATGGAGATCACCCAATCAAGGAAGAAACAACGTTGCAATCCGGGACAACCGTGAAGGTGTTTTCATTTCACATTCATCTAGAGCTTTCCGTGATGAGGAAGGCAAGAACTTCTGGGTGGAGATGGAGATTGTAGATCGTTATAGAAACCCATCCGGGAATCAAGCACCATATAATGTCACCGTAATTCGCGCCTAAACTCAGATTCTTTTATTTTTCTAAATTCCAGCTATTCTCTGAAAGTATACACATTCTACTTGGGATTGTGATTTTGATCTGAATATCTTGCTAAAACTTGCAGACAACCTTGATGGTTCCTGGCAATTACCAGGGGGAGAGAAAAATAATACAAAACCAGATCTTCAAAGAACCAGGAAATCATCGGATAAAACTTCCAACTGTCAGTGTTCGGACCACAGGCACTGTTTTGGTGGAGATGGTTGACAAAAATGGACTCTATTTTTCGGATGAGTTCTCCCTCACATTCCACATGTATTATTATAAGCTCCTGAAGTGGCTTCTTGTCCTCCCGATGCTCGGAATGTTCGGTGTGCTCATCATCTTTCGCCCACAAGAGCCCGTGCCATTACCATCATTCTCCCGGAACACTAACCTATGATCATAGCCCCATATAAAATGCTGAGCTGAGGCACATTCAAGTCAACGAACAAGGTATCTCTGACCGAGAGCTGGACTATGCGCGATCTTTTGTTATACTTGTTTAGAGTTGGTTGTTCATCTAATCTACAGACATGTTGAACCCGAGTCGAATCGAAATTTTTGATGATGATGGAGTAGTGGGGTTTCCGGTGAACATATCTGAAAAAGCTAGACACTCAGAAAGTGTTGCAAAATCACATCGTTTTCGAGATCGAAGGGATTTTAGTCGAGATAAATTGATATTTATATACAATTTTATTCTTTTCCTGTCCTGTGCTTCTTGCTAATCTTGTTCGAATCGGGAAAACGTCGATGTTTGGAAATTCTGGCCCTTGACAAATTCCATAGATTTTCCCTGCAATATGTGATATTGCTTCAGGTCTAAAGGTTGGTAAGAGACGTCTTTGACAAAGCAGAGACGACTTTTTAAAGTAATTTTAAAATCAACAGAATAATTTCTCAAATAAGTTCATTAGATTCAAAATCAAACTGTCTAGGTTGATAAGAGAAGCCTTTGGCCTCTAAGAAAAGAAGAAAATAAAAAAAGAGGTGTATTTGGCAAATGGGCAAGTTTAATATGTGTTTGAAATTTTTTTAACTATATTACATTATAAATGAGATATAAAATTTTAAATATAAAATTTTAAATATACGATCTAAAGAAGGAAAATTAATGCTTGATCACTCAAATGGTATAAAATTTAATGCTATAATCACATTAGAAAATAAAGTTTGTTTGATAATATATCTGTAAACTAGTAATATGCTACCCACTAAATATACGAGGTTTGAATCCATTCGCTCTCAACTTACCTTATTCTATTTGGACTAATGAACCACCAATGATGGTTAAGAAATACTATTATAATAATTATAATGTATCTTATTCTTATTTTGATTCCATATCGTATTAGTAAAACAACATTTTTGATTCTAATTCCAATAAGCAATACAAAGAAATAACATTTTCATTCCAATTACTTATAATTATATTCTGGTAAGTAAAAGAAACTCAACTTATTTTGTTTAATTTGCTTTAGGTTTTAGTGTGTAATTTAAAATTTGCAACTTCATGATTGGTGTAGTTGAAATAATACCGTGTGAGTTTATGTTGGGAATTTGCAGTAGTGTTGAAAATATCCTCAACACGAAATTCCTTTTAMGATTCACAACTTCGAGCTACATAAATATAGAATGTGAAATATTATTGTCAATTATATTTTTTAATACAATAATATGAGGGTAATGGTTCGAACTAGTTAAGTTAAATTTAGAATCGTATATCTTAATGGGTTAAAATATTAACATTTTAAAAAAATATATATAAAGTATAAATTTCAAGTTCATCTACTTCTATACGGAAAAAGTTTAAGAATAATGTAATTTAAAAAATAAATTACAAAAATAATGTATATTTAAAAGTAATAACAAAATAAATGTAGTATAAATAAAAAAATTACAAAATTAAGTTATACATTCAAACTATTGACAAAAATAGGTTAGGTGCTAGTCAAAGTCAAAAATCGCATACAATCGATGCGATTTAGGTGCCAACATAGATGAGGTGGACTCGAAGAATGAGTTAGCAACAAAAATAGGTTGTACGCAATTTCTATTTATGGAAAGTCGCGTACAATGAATGCGATTTTCATTTAAAATATTTATATATTTATTTATGTAGTTTTTTTTAAATTTTTTTACGAATAAAATATTTTATTTTATTAGTATTTTATTTATTTTCTATTTTCTATATAGTTTTTATTTATTTTACCTATAAAATACAATTTATTTTATTATAAGTAAAAGTATACATTCGTMTAGAACATATTTTTTCAATAAATCTTAGATCATACTAAACGTTACAATTATTTATATAAAAAGAATCACATGTACGTAACGGCAACCTACAATTGAAAATAACAAGAAGTTAAAAGAGAAAATGAAATTAGAAAAGGTAAAAAGAGAACATTAAATTTTTAAAAGAAGGTTAAAAGAGAAATTGAAGGAAAAAAAGTTAAAAAACGTTGGAGGAGTAAAAATTGAAAATAAAAAGAAGTTAATAGCGAAAATGAAGTAAAAAAAAGGTTAAGAGAGAAATTGGAATAAAAATGTTAGAGCATGGAGGGTTAATAACGATCATTATGACCAATGCTGCACAATTCTTACCATTTAAAAGAATTGACAAAATAATATATATACCATATATGACTCGCAGCAAATGCATGCGATTTCCATCCCAACACGTGGCATCTTTAAAGCCGTGTCACACTGGAGTCGCGGTCAATGACTGCGACTTTCACAAAATCGCGGTCATTGACTGCGATTTCGGCTTGCAAACAACTATTTCGCTTAAAATCGCCGTCATTAAATGCGATTTACCTGAAATTGCATCCAATGCTGCGATTTCACTACCCTACTTTTGAAATACTTTCAAACCTACATTATTTGTGTGATTTGTTTTTTGAAAAACATTATTTAAAAACTATTTTGAAAAAAAGAATCCCACAATTTCACTACCAAATTTTGGGATATGTATAATTAGGGTTTTTTACAATTATTTTGTTTTAAATTATTACATCATAGGAATATGTCCAATCATGTTGTAGGTAATTAACAACTATTTTCCAAACATGGAGAAAATTAAGATGATAGTATTTTTTTTTTAAATTATGGTTTTTTAAAATAAAATAAAAAAAAAACAAAGGGATATGGTGGGAAGTTGCAAACAACTTTTAAATTCAAAATATAAAAATAAAAAAGTTAAAAAATAAAAAATGAAAGAGGAAGTGGGGGAAGTGGCCCGGGCTGCCACTCCCAAATTTAACAAAAAAAAAACAAGAGGAAGTGGGGGAATTGGCTGCCACTTCCCAATTCAAAATAAAAAAATAATAAAAAAAGAACAAATGGCCCGTCAGCAAAGACGTGGCTCCATTTGTGCCACGTCAGGGAAAAGTCGCAGCCAATTGCTGCGATTTTAGTGAAATCGCGGTCAATAACCGCAATTTCGATGTAAATCGCAGCCATCGCCTGCGATTTTGGACAAATCGCAGCCTATCCCTGTTATTTATCTACCCTAATTTTGTAATTACTTTGAAACCTACGCTAGATTTGTCATTTGTTTTTAAAAAATAATTATTTAAAAAAAATCTCCTTCTATACATCCCCGAACAATTATTATTACTTTTTAATTTTTTAAAGGGGCAAGCCAACGAAACGGGACCCACTAGTCCACGTATTTCCTAATTATTATTTAATATTATTATATATTATTTTTAATTTGTGCAAATTTACCGCGTTTCGTCCGTCCCTTCCATTCCAGTCCAGATTTTTTGCACAAATTTCCTGCTTCCAGTTCCAAGCATTACTCAGAGGCCAGAGCTACGCATCTCCAAAGCCATGCTCTAAGCCGATCAAGATTCACGACTAAGCAACTCTTCTCCCTCCTCTTCCATTGATATGAAACCCAATCGCAAGCTCAAGAAAACCGACTCATCTTCAAAGGTATCAATCTCTTCGCCATTGATTGTCATTTCCGTTTTCTGTTCAAGGCCATTGGTTCAAATCCTCCACTATCACGACTCTGTTTTTCCTTCTCTTTCATGTTTCATGTCTACGGCAGCTTGTATTGGAAGAAATTATCGGTACCACAACAAAGAACAGCAATGGATTGGCTTCGAACGTCAATTCTGCAAACTGCGTCTATTTGGCGGGATGCGTTGTGGTGGTGTACAATGTTGACTCTGGTACGCAATCTCACCTCACCGTACCTCATCGACTGTGCAAACCTATGAGCTGTGTTGCCATGTCCCCGGATGGCCGCTTCGTGGCAGCTGGAGAGGTGAATTTTTTTCCTTATTGTCTCTTTTGTTTTTGTAGTCTTACGAACTCAAATCGGCATGATAGTTAAGATAATGTTGATGTAAAATGTCGTATAGTCCGGTTCGTACAGACGACGTTTCTTTAGATGAATGCTTTATTCGACAGATCAGTTGTGCTTAGCCAAATAATTTTACCTGCTTTACGATTTTCAATGCTTCTTATCCCATGTTCTATTTTGGTTTTGTAGTCAGGGCCTCAGCCTGCAGTATTTGTGTGGGATTTAGCTGGGATGGCCTTTCTATCAGAACTGAAAGGTCATCTGTATGGTGTTGCTTGCCTTGCTTTTTCACCTGATGGTAGTTATAAATTGCTTTGGTTTCGGCTCTGATGCTTCTTAGTCACTTTTCCCTTTTTACTCTTAAATAAGTCGTTATTTTTATTTAATTTAGGGAAATATCTAGTGTCTGTGGGAGGATACATATATATTTGGGACTGGCGGAGTACAGTGTTGTTAACTAAGCTCAAAGCAAGTTCATCTTGTACGGCTATCTCGTCTGTTACCTTTTCATCAGATTCAAAATCCCTTTTAACTGCTGGGAAGAGGCACTTGAAGTTCTGGACTATCACATCTCCTAGGACCCAGATTAATTTAGGGACGGGTTCACTGTCTTTGCATGGAAAACCTGTTAATCTTGGTCCCCATCAAGGTAGCTCATTTATTTCTATCACCTCTGCCTTATTGGCGGATGGCAGCTCAGGTGAAGCCTTTCCGATGTATGCATTGACTGAATCAGGTTGGTTTTGCTTCCATCACATCTATATCCTCGAATTGAAGTTTCTGAGCCTAATTTCTTTCTTGTTCCATTCTTTCATTTGCAGGTGTCCTCTGCCTCGTGAACTCTGGATTTTCAGTAACAAAGTCAGTAAGTTTAAAGGTACACGTGGCTTCTACATCTTATCTTAAAGATTTCAGCTTGATATTTTTCTTCAAAATCGAAAGGGTGAGATAACTTTTGAGGGCTGGCAATTTTCTTTCAAAATTATAAGAGTGAACTTACTTTCGAGGGCTATTGTGCTCAGTTCCTGGAGGAGAATCTAGGAACCCCCAGCTACGTACAGGGTTTTTGGCCCACAAAGTAGTAACCTGTCGTATTATCAGGACCTAACTTTGTTAATTTCCTTTGACAAACCTTGCACATGCACCTACGAATCAAATGGACAAATATAAGTTTCTTGAAGATAACATCTGAAGAAAAAGTATTGTTTGGATGCATGTTTTAACACGCATGTGAATTGCTTCCTAACTCTTTTGAAGCATGACATTCATCAGGCCGATAAAAGTTTTGCTGTATCTGCATCTAGCAAGTTAGTTGCTTGTGCATGCATCAAGGGAATAGTACAACTCTTTGATGCTGAGAATCTTCAATATGGTGGAAGTTTAGTATATTCAAGGTCCAAGCAATTCCATGGGACAAGCAATATTGTTTATCCCATGAAAGATGATGGAAAGGTTTTACGAAACTTACCTGTCCTTCCTGATGCAGTTGCATGTAGTTTTTCAACCTCAGAAAAGCTTGGTGAGCATTTAACTATTTAAGCAATGACTTTGGGATAATGGAATGCCACTTCTGTTTGAATATTAATGATTCTGCTTTGCAGTGGTTTTTTATGGAGATCACTATCTTAACATATGGGATGTCCATGATGTGAAGCAGGTGCGTATTAATTATTATATCGAGATATGACATTATGGTCGACACTTCTTAGCTTACTAATTGTAGCGTCAATTATATTGTATGGTTCCAGAGAACTATTGGAGCCTTTTTCATTTCTTCAAAATTTTTGTATATTTTCTCAGGCTACCAGGTCCTGTGTGCTGGTTTCGCATTCTGCATGCATATGGGATATCAAGGTTCTTTGTTGTGAAAACATGCACGATCCATCTCTTGCTTGTGTTGCTAGAGGTTGTTCAGGAGGAGTGTCTTTTGCAACATGCTCAACAGATGGTACTATAAGGTTGTGGGATCTTGCCTTGCAACCTGATTCAGAAGATGAAATGGATAATCAAGTTCGAAAAGTGAGCACTACACGTTTAGGTAGACTCCATTTTTAACCCTCCACAAACACCTTTCAAATATATGTAAGAAATTGTGAGATTATTTAACATTAATCGTAGATTCTAGGATTTAATATCCTACGAGTTACCTTGTCAACCAAATGTAGTAGGGTCAGGCGGTTGGCCCGTGATTAGTCGAGGTGCGCGCAAGCTGGCCCGGACATACGGATTTCAAAAAAAAAAATTGTAGATTCTATGTTTTTATTTTTTAAAATTCCTAGTTACAATGTTATTTTTTTTCTGGGTTATTGGGAACAGAAAGTGCTGGGATATTTGAACGTGAAACTGTGGAGGCTGGTTTTAACACTCAAGGCTTTCGTTCTCTGGCTGCAAGCTCCGATGGAAAATACCTTGCAGCTGGTGATTGTGATGGAAACATCCACATATTTAACCTGTTTACTTCGGATTATACATGTCTTCAGGTGGGCCATTGGAACTGTGATATATGATTTCTTTTAGTGAAAGAAGTTTGTAGAAAGATCCCCAATATATACCACATGGATGGCAGGCGACTATGTCCTTTATGAATTAAATAAGAAATGTTTTTCATTCTTGTAGGGTGCTCATGATGCAGAGGTCCTGTCATTAAGCTTTAGCTCGTCGAGTAGAAATGATGCTATATCTAAAGAAGTTGTTACGCAAAGTCATTACTACCTGGCTTCAGCAAGTAGAGATCGAATAATCCATCTTTATGATGTTGAAAGGTACAACTTCTTTTTATTGATATTGCTATTTTTTTGTCTGTATTCTTAATCCTCATTCTTTTTGTGTCAGGAATTTTGATCTCACTGATAGTATTGCTGATCATTCAGCTGCTGTAACTTCGGTAAAGATCAGTAACAATGGACGCAAAATTATAAGTTGTAGTGCTGACAGGTAGAAACATAAAAGTTTTACTTTTTTGTAGGTGTGTATACTTGTTACTTATTTGATGTAGGGAGTTTATTGTTATAACTTGCTGTCTAGTTACTTTACTATTTGTTTACTGAACATGTGGGCTTGCTGTCGACTATTTTGTTTATTAGTTGGATGCTTGACAGTACCAAATTGATACTTGCATTAAAATGAAGAAAAAAGTTCAAAGATTGGGATGAAATTTGAGAGCCCTCCCCAACTACTACGTTCACCAACCTAACAAACTCCCTTACTAATGGCTAGCCCCGAATAACAATCCTATTACTGCTTCAGTTGCTTGGATGAATTATTGGTTAGATGGCGGCCTCTATTAGTAAAATATTAAGCCTTTTTAGTTATAGTCTTTGATACTGAATACATATTTTGTTGACTAGTCTTGGAGAGGTCCAATCCTAGACTGCATCTTTATTGATCTTGACTTGAGCCAATGAACTCAGCTGTTCTAAATGACTTTTTGGAGGGTTCATGAAGTGAAACAGCTGGTTAAAGTTCTTGCCAGAGTCTCTATGCTATATCCTGTAGACTGTGGCCTCATTCTCTAGTATGTTTAATGTTTAGTGGTTCAGTCAGTCTTTCAGAAAAAAGTTTCTTAATCTTCTCCATGATAGAAGATAGATTATAAATTTGACTCCAGAGCCAACAAAAGTACGATACTAAACTGCTTTTATCAGCCATCCTTAATTGACTCTTACACGCAGGTCTTTGATTTTTCGTGATTTCACCACTACAGATGGTGGTCATATGATTTCCCGTAGTCATCACCAAATGGCATCCCAGGGTACTGTCTATGATATGGCTGTAGATCCTAAAACAGATGTTGTTATTACGGTTGGGCAGGTATGCATGTTACATTGCATTGGTAGCTGCAATGATTCTACTCAATCACTCCATGTAATGGCTGATAGGTGCTTGACGTCAAGATTATCCATTAATTTAATAGCTTAATGGGCAGCAAGGGTTTCCCAGTTATTAAATATCATTTATAGAATAATTCATTTAGTTATCCAACTTGTAGGATAAGAAGATCAATACATTTGATGTTGCTTCTGGGAAGCTAATAAGATCTTTCAGGCAAGAGAGAGATTTTGGAGAACCAATTAAAGTGAGTGAATCGATGTTAATCAGATTTTCATCTTGGTATTCTGCTTAACTTCAAATCACGTACAGGTTACAATGGATCCAAGTTGCAGTTACCTCGTTTGCTCCTATTCGAACAAGTCTATATGTATGCATGATTTCATTACTGGGGAAGTGGTTGTACAGGGAATGGGGCACGGTGAAGTTATTACTGGTGCTATTTTCACACCCGATTGTAAACGTATTATATCTGTAAGTTCCATCTTCTTTTTGGCCTTGCATGACTTATTCTAGAAATAGCCTATTTACATGCTTTTAATTCAACATTTGACTCTGACTTACTTTTTGCATAATTTAAAGTCATAATTGGAACTTCTAAATTTCAAGATTGAATAGGCACAATGCCAAAATATAGGAATGAAATTGGTAAATGGTAATCTAACCAAATTTATTTTTTAAGGACTCGATACATATACCCCAAAAGATTTATATACTTATTATTTTGTTTTGATTGTGAAGTCTTTAAACACTGAAAGAGTAAATGTTTGACATGGGAATAATGTATTAATTGAACTATTTTTACATTTACATGCCTTACACATGATTAAATCACCAATGAATCCAAAAGTTGGGTTAGAGTAAATTTAATCATATAAATATATTTAATAGTCCCCTCACTTGTGGACTTAAAAATTTGTACAAGTTCCAACAATTGGAAATCAATATTAAATGGTGAAGAAATGACAAAGGTCCGAACATGGAATCTCCTACTCTGATACCATCTTAAACATGATTAACTCACCAATGAACTTAAAAGTTTAAGACAATGAGTTAGGTAAATTTAATAATATATAGATATCTAACAACATGGTTGAAAGAATTTTGAATTCTACTTGTTATTATGTTCGAGCGTATGTTCATACAGGTACAGTGCTCCTCCAGTTTCAGTTGACTTATTGTAATGAAGAACGCAGACATTTTATTGTGATATCTCTGTAAATCAAGAACCCCAACATTTCTATTAAGAATGATATTTTCCTTGGTACCATGAAACATGTTACCACACTGGGGGCTATTACCGACAGCAGTAAATTTTTTTATCACTTAAGTTTTATGTTAGACTAATCATACTTAAATCTTTAAAATGGTTGGCTAGCATTAATTTTAAGGTTTCTTCCTATTTCTTAATCTTGGGTCTGAAAACAAGGTTTGACTGTGCAGATAAGAAGCAACATAAACAGGAACTCCAGTCGGTTCCTCCGGGCCCTTCTTGGAAGTCCCAAATTTGTCCTCGGAAAGATGTTCAATTTAGAACAGTCATAGGCATCTGAAATTAGAATTTCTATCAATCATATTTGAGCAGTTTATAGTATGAACTTTCACCTTCATATGCAAGTTAAACTCTCTTAGACATACTAATTGTACTTATAATAAACTCATTTAAATATTTTGTATAAAGTTGAGATGTTGATTTATTTTTCTAACTATGGTCTTGTTATACACGCAGATAGGAGGGGATGGTTGCATTTTCCTATGGAGACTTCCTGCCCTTTTATCTTCAAGGATGCGTCAGAAAATAAATGAAGGTTCCGGTCCACTGTCTCCAAGAAGCATGGCTCAGCATATATCTCTCAGTCAAATCCTGTTTTATGAAGAGGACAGAGATGAAGAAAAGAAACGAACAAACAATCCTGGTGATGATTATCAGCCAGAACAATCCAAGCAAGTTGGTTTTCGAGTGCTTCATCAAGGACGAGCTTCTCCAGAGGAAACGTTTAGGTTTAGCATTTCAAGACTGCCTAGATGGGCACAAGATAAAGTAACGAACTCTGACAGGGCCCAAATAAATCTCGAGTCCACACCTTTGCAGGTACGTAAAATCTTTAGTAAAGATGTTAGATGATATAATAAAGTAGATCCATAATTTTTTAATAAGAAAATTAGGATTTTCTGAGATATATTGGTTCAACATATTTAGGAGAGAGAGAGAAATGCTTTTTTGGATATCTTCTGTTGCTTGAATTCCCAAGTCATCTTATTGATGGTTTCCATCAATAATTATCGAGTAATATCCGGCTGCGTGTTTAGTTGGCATTGATTGGTTTACATTCCATTAGTCATCTTAGGACAGTAACTTTCATATTGGATCACATATGCTCGAATTCTTTTATGAAAAAGTTTTCCTTATGGTTTTCTCAGATTTCTCTTTTTCCGGAAATTTTCTATTCCTGTTTATTGCTAAGCAAAATCTAGCGAGCACAAACACAAATATTCAACATGGATATGTTGATATATAATTGTGGAGGCTTTGGACATGCAGAAGGTAGTAAGTATATAGAACAAACATTTAGAGAGAGAGAGATGTATGTTTGCATGTACGTATATGTGTTTTTATTATTGTTCAAATATTCAATTTTATGAAAGTTTGACATGAAAGATGAGTTCATAAATATGTGCCATTTTCATTCTTATAACCGACTTCACAGATAGTGGTGTGTATGTTTGCATGCATATATACATTTTATAATTTTTGTTCAAATTTCAATTTAATGAGTTTTTTTAACTCTTTTTTTCCCTTCTTGAAAAAGAAACTAGATTTCAATATTTCATTGATAAATGAAACACACAAGGGCACTCCAACGCAGTTACTAAAAACAATCCATTTAGGAGATATTTTGTGGAATTCTCGTTTCTTGTCCTATGTAAAGGTTGTGCATGGATCCCACCACCCTCTTTCTACTTAATTTTGCAAGCAGATAATCATGAACGACAGCTTGTTTCTTTAGGTATTGGGAGAGAGATAAGATATGGGAGGTGCTAGATGGCTTATTCGGCCTTTGCGGGTCTTGTTGGTGCTTAAGGTTGTGAAATTTGCTCTGGAGAAGTCGTCTATGGGCCAGAATACTAGATTCTAAGATCCATGAAATGCCTTTCATTCACATCAATACTTCATGCATATGTAATGATATCATATTACTTGGTTCTATTTTCATGAGTAAGTTTCGTTCCTAGGTCATATTCACTTCATGGGTATACCAAACATGAATCTTTAAAATGATTCAGCAAACTTGATCTCTGTACAATTGCATGCCCAATGTTACATCACTTTGAGTTTAGCAAGGTTTTTAGTTTCTTGCCCACCCTGCATGTCCAATTTTTATGTTTCTGTGAATTGAACAGAAAAGTTGCGCTTCTTTGGTTGTTGATGATCAAGAAAATGCACGTCTACCTCCAGAATTTCAAATTTGTTCTCGCCATGTCCTTGGATCTGTTAACTCCAGCACCAGCAGCCTATCCCCAAAGTCTTCTGACAACAGCAATAGCAGTGGTTCTCGTGTGCCTCAAGAAACTGTTGGGTAATGGCTCCAAAATTCATCAAGCTTTTAAATGGTTCTGTTTGATATTCTCCATGCTTACAGTCTCATCTTCCTCCAGTGGCCACCCGGCTATGGATAATCGCTGGCTCTCCATTTATAACGTGTGTCTAGATGTACTGAGTTCTCCTGAAATGCAGAATGTAAGGGACAGAAAATCAGTGTCGTCCACTAATATATGTAAGGTCACATCCTTTTTTTGCTTAATCTTTTGATTGGTTTAGCACTATTTTAAGTATTCATGTACTCGGTCGTGAATCACTTCAGTGTTTGCAAAAACATACTTGCAGTTGCAGCTTTTATTACCAGGAGATTGCTTGACAACCTTGATGAATTTTGACGATCAGCAAGATTTTCCTTAATGATCAGTTTTCTTTCGCATGTCATTGGGTTGGTTACTTTTAATTAAGGCGGTTGTTTTTATGCATGGGTCACAGTTTCGTTTATCCTAGGAAGCAATATAGAGGGTCTTATTTTTTTTGTTCAGAAAAAAAGGAGGAAATGAAAAGGAAAAAAATATTGCAGTTAATATAAAACTGCTAGAATGAAAGCTTATTGAAGGGAGCCGCATGGTGTTTGTCATTTCTGTTAAAATGCTTCTAAGCTATTTGTGAGAGTTGTAAGCACCTATATAATGTGGGGTTGCCTATCACCATTGCTTCCGTTGTTAAATGTTTTGCGTGACCATTGCACAAGTGTCAAGTTTGGATACTTTTTATCATTTAGTCGTATTCTGTTGTGTGGATATCTATTCTGGTATTGACATGGTGTTGTCTTTAACAGCAGACCAGATGCTCTAATTTCAATCTGCGTTGACATTAGAGATTGCTTATATGTAATCTCACTTATATGCAGTTAACTATTATGATGAGTCATTGCAGAGAAATTTGTTAATCTTTTTTCTGATGAGGAATGTACTTTACATTGAAGATGCAGCAACGCTACCAGGTTATAATGGATACTCTTCTGATCAAGCTGACAATGTTATTGATATTGGGGGAGAGTTGACTTCTAGTATGATTGCCAATTTTGATAATTCTGAATCTTTGAGCAAGTGTGAATTTCATATGGGAATGAAAGAGGCTGATTCTAGGGAAATGGAAGAGCTACTTTCTGGTAATGTGAAAAATGCGAAGCAAGCAGCTGGAGATAGTAGTCCGTTCCACATTAAGTCTGAAGATGTTGATCTATTCAAGCTACATTTTGGCAGTCTATCAACGTCACATAAGGTTAGTGGAAATTTGAATCGTTACTTGAACTAAGTCATGGTTTGGGAATTCAACTAGAATAGGAAAGGTTTGTTGTCTAAGTATATGAGACCTCTATTCCTGAATTCTTGTTGAATCGCTCTGCTTAGACAGACTGAACTAATCAGCCTGAAGTGAACTATATGCAACAGTTAGGAATTCTCTATAGCTAAAGATATTTTCAGATAGATGTTCGGTTGTAGAGAAATGATCTCATAATGTCAACTAATGCTCTTTGTCTGCATTTGTCTTTATAAAATAAGTGATAGAATATAATCACAAAAAACTTGAAAGAGGAGTTTCAAGCCACCTCGATTGCACATATTCATTTGTCCACAATATAAATGAATTGATTTCTTTTAATCTACCCCCAACCACAAAATAAAAAAAATAATAATAATAAAAAAGGAGAAAATATTGGATATCATATATAGATAAATGTGGTCTTTTAGACTTCGATGAAATTTAATTGACGAGTGTTTATAATACAGAAAAGTGAACCGTCAGCAAGGAGAAGATACTCCTCCAAATATGTTGTCCAGAAGGATTATCTTGGAAGCACCAAAAGACTCCCTCGAATGCTGCCTCATGATTCTGGTTGTAGAACTTTAGATTGCATGGACGAAGTTATCAACCATTCTCCATCAGAGGATCTGTCAAGTCAGGTTTTGGCAGAACAAGAATTGGTAGGTTCTTTTTAACTGAATAATGGAAAGTGGGCTCTAATATATTAAAATGGGCCTTGGGAGATCAAGATTCTCATTTCTTAGAACTTCATTATTTTAGTTGTAAAATGAATTTATTCCTGTTATGAGTTGCGAATTGTGCAGGATATTTCTAGGACAGCAGAGACCTTGGTAAACACAAAGTTGTCACGCTTTCAAAATGAGAACTATCCAGTTGAAAAAGACCCAAAAAGAGTAAAGTTGTCCAAAGAAGGAAACGATGGCAGTTTTCCAGTTGTAAGTGAATTGCAAGAGCAACGAACTAGTTGTACGGAAGTGCTACTTGGTTTGGATGCTGCAGCCGAGAATGCAGTCCAATTATTTTCAAGATTAGATACGAGGGGTTTCCATCAAGATAGTTTACATGAAGCATCCAAGTTACTTCCCCCAATCATAGAGAAGGTTAATGCAATTGCCAAGTGGGTGCAATGCAGGAACAAAGATAAATGTGAAAGTACGAAAGATATTATTACAGGGTTCGAACCTCTCTTAGGAACATTTGCTGAGAATCTATCTCAGAAGGTTGTTGAAATTTTGAAGAAGAATACTGGCGGGGATTCATAGTTTTCTATAAATAACTTTGTATTATGAATTAGTGCCTACTTATGGTAAATAAATGGCGCATTATGTCATCTTGGTTCCATATGTTCGGCAGGTAGTGAATCAGCTCTATAATGAACAATAAAAAATTCAGAGGTAATTCTTTGAATATTAAAATTTATGGCAATTAAAAAAAATCTCCTCTTGTTTAATTCCACTTCCTTGCATTCTTGTTTTAGGACGGAACCCTTCGGGATTTTGCCAAAGATGACCTTTCTATTGTCAAGCTTGACACCAATGGTGAGACTCTAGATAATAGTCTATTTTTTGCTGGAAAAGAGCTAGTTTACAAATGTTTTTTTTTTGGGCTCGTTAATAACTGAGGAACCATACTTATTCCTAGAAAAGAAAAGAAAAAGAGTTGTATCTTCTTTTTCTTTTCTTTTCTTTTCTTTTCATTTTTAGTTGTAGGGTTCCTTATTTTCTTATGTACATGTTTTATAGGCATAATTCTTGTTCTCCAAACTTTAGAACATTTAAAAGTGAAGGGGTAATTTTAAAAAATAAAGAAAAAGAAAAAGGCAAAGACCAACTTCTCTTTTTCTCCCCCCTTCACTTTTAACAAGTTTCATACTTGTCATTTTCATGCATTTCTGATTTTAAATTGTTAAGAAGCACCTTTTTTTGTGAATCTCAAGGCATGCTAGTGAATAATTAGCTCTCCAAGAGCTTACAGATATCGAAGGTCTGTTGGAATATATACAAATCCCTAAGAAGGTATGCCTAGAAACTAATCTCTTATATGCTCATTCTTTTGCTTTTCTCTCTCTATGGTAACATGCCAAAATCCACATTCTTTCTTGGGATTCCTTCACTCTACTCGTATAATAATGTAGTTTTTAATAAGCCTATCATAGTAGTTGCCTCGAGGAAGTGGCACTTTCCTTCAATAAGAGGTCTATCCATTTCATGTAATGCTGGAACTTGGGCTCATCATGACCATTTCAGGCACTATGAGCAGACCAATAGGGACCATGAAAGCACATCCTGAAAAGAAAACCTCTAGTGGTTATCCTCCCTCCCCACCTACACACACACAATTTCTGATCGGTTATAATATAGATCAATTGAAGGCCCAGTCATCAATGATCTTCATGGGCCAAAAAGAAATGGAAAAGCCCTTTCATATTATGCCACACGTTGGAAGAAATGAATGTGTATGAGATACCCAATTCCTTTTTTGGGTATAGGATTAAAATCTGTTGAGTGTAGCTTTCTCTGTTTCTAAAGAAACACTTGACACCTTAACCCTCCCAAAAAATTATTTTGACAACTTCATTTGCAAATATTTTCAAGATAATAAGCCTCATCATCTGTAAAATTTGAATAGATCATTTTCACATGTATATGGGGTCCAAGAGGGAGGCTCTGTTAAAGTGGGCTATCATTTTATTCATTGTTTTTTTTTTATCAGAAAGCAAAATGGGAAAGGAAAAAGCCTCTGATTTATATGAGCTGTATGTATGTGGGGTAAAGGAATGGGGTAAAGGGGCTTCATTTGATTGTCCTTTTGTGCTCATTTTTCACTTGTAATGATGGGTTTTTCTTTTTCCCCTCTTTTGTTTCACAGCTAGACTTGTTTTTGCAAGCCATTTTCTCTTTACTTAATTAACACCAAAAAAACACCAAGGGAAAAGAAGTTATTCCACTTGGAACTGTCACTCGGGACTCACTTTTTGAGCGAATATGGGTTGCCTAATTATGGGCAATAATAATCTAGGCATAAAATTAGACAACATTATTTGATATTATAGCCTTGTAGAAATTTTTGGAATCTTTAGATGCGCATGTTTATGCTATCTACTTCTCATTAGTTTTTATTACCACTAGCAGCATGTTGCTGTAATGGGTGCTCCACACCATTTTATCCTCATTATGAATCGGTAAAGGTAACTTTCATAAGCCCAAGATTATGTTACCTAGCCTCTAGATTCACTCAATCAGGCCATGGTTGTTCCTTTCATGAAATTTTTGATGCTCTAATTATTGATAGATTCATCTGTGCAAGAGGCTCATTGCCATTTTCCATTCCAGTTTTAGATTTCTCTATTTTCACCACATGTTTGATTTCTCTGTTGGTTTAGATCATTACCAGATTTTTACTTTTTTTTTTCAACCTTATTTTTATTATATTCAACCAGTAGATTCTACTAATATTTATGATCCAATAAAAATAAATTAATCGGTATCCTAGGCGCACTAATATGGAGTCAACAACTTTTCTTTTTAGCATCAACCAATATTTAAGAACTCTTTGTACACTTTTTAGCACCAACCAATTAGAAAAATTAGGACCAGCCAAAAAAACAAAACAAAAAAGGGGGAATGGAACACTGGCGATCAACTGAAGTCTTATTGTTGATCACCACAGGATCATGAAAAACAATGATAATGTGAAGTCTGTCACATTGACAAGAAAATGAACTGATGGTGGTGCTGTTTACATTATGATAAAACCATATGTTTATTTATTGTTAGTGAAATTATGTAGTTTGGCCTTTGGAGGTTGGTTTGCAATTGGAATATTTTGTTAAACATTAGGGTGTGGGGGGTGGGGATGTGTTGAATCCAAGACTGGGAAACTGTTCCCAAACTCTGTGTCTTTTCCATTGAGAAAATGACAAAGAATTAAAGAAAATTGAAGAAAGCTCATTCTCACTGCATAAAGCAAGCACGGGAGAGACAAAAACTGCACACACTCTGATCATTAGAATCTGCAGTTTCCCTTCACAAAAGAACACAAACCAAAGCTTAAACCAATCTGCCCCCTTTTGCCAAATCCAAATCTGCTCTCTTCCTAATAATCTCAGTTTGCAGGCTCTGAATAATGCTTAAAAAATTGAAATTTTTGAACTTCTTTTCATGTCAAACAATTTTTATTTTTCTTTCTTTTTTTTTTTTGGGCATATATTACTGCTAGATTTCCATGGCCTCACCTCTGTCTCTGCTGCTGAATCCTCAGCCTTGGTGTGGATCCATAGGCATGCATGAATTTATTATTGTTTTGGTGTTTTCTGGGCACAGGTGGTTGAATTTGTAGGGAGTTTTATATTGTTTTTAGGATCATAATAATTCCAATAGAYTGTAGTGTGAGAAAATCTTTGCAAGATTCTTTTGCCGTCCATTAGATTAGAAGGAGAAAAGAAAATGAAATGATTAAGTTGCTTTAATACTATTTTAGATCCATGTAAGACAACTTTGAACTCTTCTTTTTTTATTATTAATAATGATATTATTATCATAGTCATTTATTAATATAGGGGAGGAAAAAAAAATAGATTGTAGAAGTTAGACGGCCTTAGTTTAGCACTTAGTTATTAAATTATTACATGAATAGTTAACTAGTTTTAGGTTTTAGGTTTGTATCTTATTTAAGAATAAAAAAAAGGTCACTAATATTCACTCGATTTGATGATGATATTTCTAAAATAAAATTTGTAAAACGTATCAATGATAGTTATTTTTCTCTATTCTTTTCTCTTAAAATATATCTTTGACGAATAAGATAGATTACTAATGCTTTAACCTTTGAATTATGTTCGGTAAGATATAAATGAATGAAACCTTATACCTACCCTTCAATTCCTCATTCCATATATAGATTTGCCAAAAAAGAAAACCCAAATCATTGGGATTATTAAATGTCAAAAGACCAACAAATTTGGAATGAGAGAGAATTTGAACAAGAGCAAAATCTAATTGTATCTTAGTGGAGCATGGATGGGAATGTAGTTGATTATTGTAGGATGTGGGCCATCCATCCCCACAAGTTGAAGAATTTTTGTCCCAAATTGCATCTGTGTCTCTCTCTCTCTCTCTCTCTCTCTCTCTCTAGAATTCCATGCAAACATATCCTTATGGGTCATGAAAAAAAGAGGGGGAAAAAACCCATAAAAGACAGATCACTTAGACAGAGAAAGATGGAGAGAGAGACAAACTCCTAATCCTTTCTTCTTTAATAAAAAATAAAAGAATAAAAGAAACTAAAAACTCTTACTTTATTAATAAAGGAAAAGTTAAAGATAGAGGACACTAATACACTTTACGCCTCATATATTCCAGCCACCCCAAAAAAATATATATATATATAAATAAAGAAATACACACACCCATCACCCTCCCCCATTTCTTTGGGCTAAATTACAAAACATATCCCCAATATCTCTATTTTTTTAAAAAAAAAAAAATTTAATACTATCTTTAGCTTGTAGCAAATTAGTGTTAATATTTTGATCTAAAAATTGAAAGGTGAGAATTTGAGACAACGTGAGAATTAATGTGAAAGCTTGTTTGTATTAAGTTTGAAGAGAAATGAGATGTAGAAGAAGTTATTATTTTTAAAAGGAAGACTAGAGAAAAATTAGGTAGACAATAGAAAAGTAAACTCTCTTGCAATTTTCTTGAAAAATTTGAAGGCAAAATTGATAATTATCATATTGCTTTAGATTTAACTTTCTGTTTCAAAATATTAATGGATGTTTGTTAAAAGAGTAATTTTGAAAGATATGAAATCTACAGTATTGAAAAATTTAAAATATACGAGTATTTTCTAAATAAAAGACCAAAGATTAGGAGTTTTTTTTTCTTTTGTGTGGTAATTGTGTTAATTTAGCGATTTCTTTTTCACACACAATTGCTACTCCCAGCCCCCAATCAATCAAAGTTGCATTAATTACCATCATACCCCTCCCTTTAAGCCTCACAAAAAGGGAGGCTTTCTTTCATGTGATTGCCTCCAACGATTGAAGAGGATGATGCCATTGCCTGCCCCAACCGCCACCCTTCCTCGTGACTTTGCGGTGCCAAAAGCTATTTTATTTCCACACCCCTCTCTATTTTATTTATTTATTTATTATTTCTTTTTTATTCCAATTCTTTTCTTTTGGTCTTTTCATCCAAGTTCAACTCTACTTCATTTCTTTTTTTTTTTTTTTATAATAAACATCTTTTTACTGAGTAAATAATGATCTCAAAACTTCCGCTTTTTTAGTTCAATAATGTAAATTGAATGTTCGAACTTCTAATATTTTGA